CTTGAAAGAGAAAATAGGTACTTTTTAGTACCTTCTGGTAGAAGCTGACCTTGGCCTTTCCTGAGTTATTTCAGATTCTCTAACGCAGGCTTCAAACTCTTCTTCTGAACTTCTTCAAACTCCCTCTGTCTGCAACACTTGCCCAGCCCCGTTCTTGCACAGCGGGCTTCTTCTCAACCTTTAGGCCTCTGTTTAAATATCACCCACTGGGCGAGGTCCTCACCTTCACCAACTGCCATTCTGTAGTTGACTCCCCATTTTTCTTTCTCACAGCAGCTTTCTCTTTCCCAACTTCTGCTTCTTACTCCTTGTTGGTCTACTTACGTATTGTCTGTTTCCCTCACTCACCTTTATGTTACCTTAGGGTGGGGGCCATGACCACTGTGCTCACCGCAGTAGCCTCCATATCAGCATAGGGCATGGCAGGAAGTGGGAGCTCAATAAGCATTTGTTGAATGAATGAATGGTCTCTACACTCATGCATGGGCATCCTAGCCTGTCCCTGCCCAGGAGGAGACCACCTCACCTGCCGGAAGATGACAACAAAAGTCCCCCCAACCATGCACCCATTCTTCTGATGTTTTTGGCTTGGAGAAAGACACTAAGTCTCTCTGAGTCTCACTCTTAGTAACTGTATCCAAAAACCAGGATCCTTCTTATCCCCTCTGTTTCCTTCTAGCAAAGGGTAAAGCTACTCAGGTGGCTGAATTCAGATGAGAATGCCTCAGAGCATGGTCTTATAGAAGTCCACAAATGACATGATTGCATTCAGAATCATCTAGAAGACCTGCCTAGAATGACTCAGACACCACAACCACCTTCCAGGAGCAACTGGACAGAGACACCTACAAACTCGCCCATTACTGCCTTATAAGTAGGTGAGCCTCCAAGATCTCTTTGGTGGCAGAAATGTCTATCCATCTGGTTGTCAGGAGGATGTGAAGTCCATGGAGGCAGGAATTTTGTTTTGCTTCCCGCTTTGTTCTCAGCCCCTATAACAGTGTCAGGCATATAGAAGGTGCTAAATAAATATTTATTGAGTGAACAAAAGAGTAAAACTGCATGATCTGCCCTTGGCCCTAATGAAAAAGCCTAATTCCATGACATTGTTCACTGGATGCTTGCCTTAAGCCTGGTCAGTCTGAAGGTCCTTTGGATCTGGAATTGGGACCCAGACTGGGAAGTGATTCAGAGTCAAGAGTGAGACGGCCACACTTGTCCTAGGGTAAGCAATGAACATGCATCTGCAGAGAGAGAGGAGAATGTAGCAGATCCTCAGGAAGAAGCAGGGAGGAGACCAAGTGGTCCTGGAGACAGGAGGTAATCTCAACCTTTGATTCTTCCTTCCTGATTTCAGTCCCTTGGAAGTTTATGCTTCCTGCCCTTGAGCTCTTATATTTTAAAAATATGTTCCCTTTTTGTGTTAAGTGACAGGGAGTTTTTATTATGTGTACTATGTGTATTAAGATATAGAACCCCTTTTAGCTTAAATTAGTTTGGCCATTAATTTTCTTATAAGGAAGTTTTTGTCTCAAGTTGGTTTGAACATGTTTTGTTTTTTTGCATTTTTATAATAAATTACCCCCTTTTTTGTTGAAGTTGGTCTGAGTGGGTCTCTTGATTTGAAACTAAATGACCCCTGACTCAGCTGCGACCACCTGGTTTTTGTTTCCCACCTGGGAATTTGGCAGGATGTGGGGAAAGGCCCCTGGTCTATGTGCCTGTGGTCAGAGGAGGGATTGACCTCAGAGAGTGGTTTTCACTGGACTAAGCCCAGCGGAGTCTGGCCACATCTCTCTACATTACTCCCCTTACTTTCCAAACCAGGACGCTTGAAGCCACAGCTCCCAGGAGACCCAGATACTCAGCCTTAGAGGAGCCCTGGATCTCTCTAAAAGACAAGACAGCATTCTGCCTCTGGACACAGGATGGCATCTACATGGATGCGGCCAATTCTTCTCTTCCTAAGGATCCAGACCTGCCTCAGTGTGCTGGTCCTTAGTGGGTTACCTCTCAATGTATGGTGTTCTATGGACTCGCGGAGCACGGTGTCTCAATTCTTTGCCATGGATCGGAGACATAAATAGGACACATATACACACACACACCACAAATATTCATGTTATAAATATTTCACACTCATGTGTGTGCAAAACATCATCTCACACTTTATATCTTCAGTAAACAGAAAACTGTACTGCATTCGATGGGGCTAGCCCCATGAGGAGGATTCCAAACTCTTCTCTCTTCCCAACGAGAGCAGAACACATGAAATATCCATTTCACAGGAAAGAAGGCAACGGATGGAGAAGGTGGATCAAAGTGTGCGCCAGGTAGCTCCTGGCGTTGGGGCCTGTGCTGGGGGCTGTGCCTCTTTCCTACCCCCACACCAGCTCTTTCATGCACTGCGCTGTTCCTCTTTGTTGGGTGAGGCAGGGATGCTCAGAGAATGTAAGGGACTTGCTTAAGGTCATACAGTTAATAAGTGATGAAGGCCACCCCGTAAAGACATTGAGGGGATATTGGCGGGAATATCATTGAGGCCATGGGATTCAGTAGCAGAGTAGATCCATTCCAGGAATCCAGGGATCCTGGGATGGGGAGAAGGAGACCATGGGGGCAAGGCAGAGGGTCCCTGCATCCCATGAAATGGGCTGCCTGACCAGAGGCCAGGGCCATAGGAGAGGGATGACTGATATTAGGGAGTGTGCCATCTGAGAAGGAAGGAAGGAAGGAAGGATGCCTCAGGCCTCACCAGGAACCTCCCGCCCCAAACAGGCACATTTATCTTAGTGCTTGAACCACAGACGCCAACAAGGTGGTGGAGAGTGCATGGGCAGGCATCACCTCTCCCCTCTCCCCAGTAACTAGCCTCCTTCAGCCACTCGGCTGGCTCAGATGGCTGCCTGGCAGGCCTTATTCCCTGGGGCTGTGTTTCAGAACTGGGGACCCCTGCAGATGCGGTCTTGGACCATTAGCTGAAAGTGCAAAGGGCTTCTTTGGGAAAGAGGGCCTGTAAGTGTGGCTCCAGCCCGTGGCTTCAGTGGAAGGGACTTGGGGAGAGGTGGCTGTGGCCAGGATGCCGTGAACCCAGGAGCTTACTGTATCCAGGGATGATGAGCTGAAGTCCTCTTGTGAAGGGGCTGGAGGGATGACCTCTGGGGTGACATTCTGGAATCTCCACCAGGGAGAAGACCCCAGCAGGGACAAGCTGGAGGTGGCTAAGGCGGTTGCTAATGCTTGGCCAGGGCTAAAAGCCATCACTTGTGGTGGCTCCAAGTGCCACGTTTGTGTGACTTTTTCTGGTCGAGCTCAGCCACTTGAGTGTGGGTGTGACACAGGGTGCCATTCTGCAAGCCTGCGACAGAAGGGCGTGGGGGCAGGGAACTTAGGGTACTTCTGTGGGTGTGATGGAAGAGGGGAGCAGTAAGAAAAGTGAAGATGATAATATGGCAGTGGGGACGGCGGTGGTGGAGCAACAGTCCCGGGCTGAGTCTAAGTCCCAAGTCATGCCTCTCAGAATTCCACGCTATGTGACCTTATTTGTTCTGATACCAGTGTAAGCAGTAGGATTTGGGGACAGGAGGTTTACTGAGTGGCAGGTATCTGGAGGAAGAGAGGATGGCAAAATATACACTACCCAGGCCAGCCCCACGGGGAGAGAAGACCACGGCAAAACCTTCTCTACTTTGTGCACTAAGTATCTTCTAGAACTGTATCTGGCAAAGGGCAGGCGGTCGGCAATTTCGAGGATTTCGATGTGTTGATGGATGTGGAGTACTTAGGACTGTGCTGGCAGGTGGTAGATGCTACGTTAGCTATTGTTATGATTGGTATTATTTGCGAGTGTATGTGAGACATTCCCAGCAGTTGCCAGAAATATTTAATTAAGGAACCCTTTAAAAGGTTGCTGAGGTCCGACACTATGCAAGTGGGGGACATGAGTCAGAAACTTTTTAATTTTAACGAGTAATATGACCCCATTTGTCCACCCAGGCTGAGGAGGCTCGGGTGAACTTGGGTTAGAGCAACAGTAACAAAATCAATCATCTCTAGAGTATCCGTAGAGTGTTTAGCACCTACTGGGTACTGTACTCCTACATATAATATGTATGTGTAAAATATCTTTTAATTTTAACCTTCTGCAGCATAATTATTATTACCACCACTTTATAGACGGAGGAATGGGTTCCAAGAGATAATAACTTGCCAAGCGCACAAATCAAGCAAGAAGTGGAGCTAGGATTTGGATGATGGTGTCCGGGATAATTAGGGAAGAAGAAAAGGTCACACAGAGAATAACAGGGTAGAAGCACTCGGAATGGCTGGGAGCCTGGAGCCTCTCTTACTCTTGCTGTTGGAACATTATGGGGCACCTGCAATGTGCCAGGCGCCGGACTAAGGGCTCCGAAGCACAGGGTCACGGATCCTCACGACGTGTCTGTGAGGCAGGGATCAGTCGACCATCGTTTTACGATGAAGGAATGGAGGGTTTGAGAGGTTCAGTAACTCGCCCCAGGCCACACAGCTGCGGAGTGGCAAACATGAGCCCGGGACGCCGTTAATCTGATGGTCTAGGCTCTCGACCGGGCAGGGAGCGAGGCCTGTTTGTTTGTAAGGAGATGTTTATGGGAACACGGCCGTACCGTTCCTCTATAGTTTGTCCTGGGCCGCTTGAGGGCAGCAGTGGTAGCCCTGGGTGGTTGAGACACAGATCGAATGCCTCACGAGCTGAAAATATGGACTCTCTGGGCCTTTAAGGAAAAATGTGCTGAGGCCTGCTTTGACCCCTCTGCTTGGGCTTGCAAGGACTGACCCTCACAGGAAAAGGACAGGAGAGGAGCAGGGATGTGGAAATAGAAATGAGGTGCGAGGACAGTGCCGGGGCACATGGGAGGGAAAGGCTAAGCCACCTGGAGGGCCACAGGGAGGGCAGGGGCTCTGCCGGTGACCCCACCCCTCTGCCGGCTCGGGCTGGCTCTCGGCCACCAGGGCCCTACCTGTGTAGTCGATGACGAAGCCCGCACTGCTCACGGACGCGTCACTGCGGAAGGCGAGGAAGAGGCTGTTGCTACTGCTCTCAATGCGGCCTGGGAGCTGGGAGCCATAGAAGCTTCCTATGAGAGGGCTAAGGGAGTCCCGTCCGTCGTAGATATGGAGGAAGTCATAGCCAGGCTCCAAGTTAAAGCTGGGGAACAAAAACATCCCGCCCCCACCCCACTAAGGTCAAAACAGGCTCAACCGAGGGAGGGGGGCCTCCCACACAGTGAGCCCTCCACCCCACCGGTGCCCAACTCCTGGAACTTCCTGGTGGGATGGAGGGGGGAAGCCCCGACAGCCTCCCAGTCGGGCCTGGAGATGGATAAGCCAGGCCTGGGGGCAGAGGAGACCGGCCCTACAGTCAGTGCCCAGAAAACTAGAGCTCAAAACCCAACACCCTCTTTCTGGAAAAAACACAAAAAAAATATTTTTAATTGAAATACATTTGACATATAATATTGTGTAAATTTAAGTTGTGCAACATGTTGATTGGATACATTTTATACTGTAATATGATTGCCACAGTGGTGAAAACTAGCTCCTTTATCGCATCGCACACAGGTATCACGTCTTTCTAGTGGTTGGAATAACTAAGATCTAGTCTCTTAACAAGTTTGAGGATTATAGTACAGTACTGTTGTCTGTATTCACTATACTCTGCACAGAAGGGAAAACAAGTTGCCAATTCTATATATTGAGCTCTCTTATCTGCCTCCGATGGTCTTTAGATTGTGTTCTTCTGCACCTCCATTTCCAGGAGGGAAAGAGTCACCCAGGGGGCCATTCCTAGGCAGGGAGGGGTCTAATCTCATGAAGAACCTGGCTCCATCCCCTCATCCCTGCGCCAGTTCCCAGCTCTTCACAGATTCTGCTATCACCCCGCTCCTGGCGCCCACGAGCATGCCTCTTTCTTAGTTATCTTGACCCTCATGTGGGAAAAAAAGCGAATTAAAAAATTGGCAAATTGGATATTAGAGTCCTTGAATATCATCGATCCCACTGGATTGGCTAGAGTGAAAATGACGGAAAATGCCAAGACTGGCAAGAATGTGGAGCCCCTGGGATCCGGGGTGTGTGTGGGGGGAGCCAGATGTATACTGGCCTCCTTCTTCCACGGCACCCTCACACTGGGGTCACCTGCAAAGGCACACTACCACCGCTGGGTGGTGTGGTCTTCTTGCTCTTATAACTCTGCTTCCAACCACCTGCTCTTGCAAAAGTCACCAGGGAAGTGTCTTGGAGGGAGTCAGTCTTGGTCAGATTACGGCTCCACCACTTTCTAACTGCCTTCTGTCTGTCCCTGTCTTCCTTCAGTCATCACATTTCGTCTGAGCACTCTCAATATGCCAGGCATGGTGCAAGGTGCTCAGGACACAGGCATATGTCAGACGCCACACCTTCTTCAAGATGGCGATGGGGCTGAAGGAAGCGACGGATGTGAAGACAACAAAGCAAAGTATAAAGTCTGTACAGGCACATGGGATCACAACACAAAGTTCCTCGGGGAGGAGGGAATGAAACTTTCATGGAGGCCAAGCTGGTGTCAAGTTTTGGGAGATGCAGAGACCCCCCAGTAGTTGGACAAGGAGGGAAAAGGAAGTCTCCATGAAGGGAGAAGCAGAGGCGAAGTCACAGGGGCAAGGAGTAGTCTTGAAGCTGTGAGCAGTTCAGTCTGGCTGGAGCTCTGGGGTTATGACGGGGTGGTGGGGACTGAGTGGAGAGGTAGGCAGGGGCCAGATTGCTTGGACTGAAAAACCAAAGTTCTGACTTTATAGGGAAGAGGAAGCCATGACAGGATTTTAAAATAAGAGATCGAGTTGTTTGTGTGTTTGTTTTCAAATTGAGGTATAAGTTATACCCCATGAAATGATCAGCTCTTAAGTGTATCACCCTATGGGTTTTGATACATGCATAGCAAGACCCAGGACATTCCCACCATCCCCAAGTGCTCCCCTTCCCAGTCAATCTTCACCACCCCCAGAAGCCACCACTGAACATATTTTTATCATCATAGATTCATTTCGCTGATCCTAAAATTTCGTATAAGTGGAATCATACATTATGGACTTGTTTGGGTCTGTTTTCTTTCGCTCAGTGTGGTATTTTTGAGATTCAGCCATGTTGCATGTATCAGTCATTCATTTCTTTTTATTGCTGAGTAGCACGTTATCATATGTTCCAATGAAAGATGAGGTGGTTATTTTAGCATTTTCACATGACAAGATCACTTCCACGGCTAACTTAAGAAGAGGTTGGCATGGGAGGAAGATGGGGGCAGAGGAACCAGTCAGGAGACTATGGTAGTAGTTTGGATGGGAAGTAACAAGAGTTTCAACCAACATAGTGGCTGGAAGGCTGGAGAAGAGGGGAAAATGTGAGGCTTGTTAAGGCAGCAGAGGTTCCACACCTTGCTCCCTAACGGAAGCAGCAGGGCAGGTGCATGATGGCGGCACTCCCCAGGGGTCAGAAGAGAGCTCTTCTGGGGAGGGGAGGGAGTCATAGGCTTAGGTGTGTACGTGCTGCATTTGTGGCGCCTGCAGGCACCAGACCCCCAACAATTGGATAGGAGAGCCTGCAGCTCAGAAGGCAGTCTGGGCTGTGGTAGTGTGGAGTCTCCAGTTTATGGGACGAAGGTGAAGCCATTGGAGCAGATGAGCTGGCCTGGGAAGGAAGTGTGCATGAGAAGAGAAAGGGCGACAGAGCCTGGCCAAGGAAGGGGGGTATGATGAGGAAGCTGTAAAGTCACAGAAGCTGGAGAACCAGAGGGGAGTAACTTCACAGAAACCAAGGAGAAAAAGAAGGGTACGGATGGAGGGAGTGATCGAGAGGTGCAGCGGGATAAAACATGGGAAGTGTCATTTTGCGTGGCGACCAGGAGGTCACTGGTGTCTTTTATCAGAGGACTTGCTGGCGGAACCACGGAGGCAGAACCCAGCTATCAGTGGTCTGAGAGCGAACAGGTGGCGAGGAAGTAGACACAAGCAGAGATGATTCTTTTGAAGAGTTTTCCTCTAAAGGGATAAAGGAGGCAATGCAGGAGCTGGATGGGGGAGGACCTGAGAAAAACCTGAGCCTGTTCGCACACTAGGGAGCATGAGGGAAGGAGCCCGGTGACAGCAGAGGGGGGAAACACAGGGGAGCAGTGGGAAAAGGATCCAGCAAGGCCCTGCTTTCTGAATCTCAACATCTTCAGAGATAGATAGATAGAAAGAAAGAAAGAACGAAAGATAGAAAGAAAGAAGGGTAGAAAGAAAGAATAATAGCCACTTCATCAATTATAGGGTTTAAATAAGATAACACGGGTGAGGCTGCTGAGTACAGCGCAGGGCACCAGGAGACATCCAATAGACGCTAGTTTCCCTCCTTTGGGCTCCTTCATCTGCTCCCAGCGGACCTGTGTGCACTCACCTGGAGACCCCGGTCTAAAGCCCCTAGTTGCTCTGAGCCCCTCGTCTCCCACCCGGGGGAAAGGTACATACATGTTAAATACCAGGGCGATGACGTAGTCCGGAGAGACGGTCACTTTCCAGTCACACTCCTTGCCTGGTGGGTAAGGTTCTGGGTAATTTGGCGACAGAATGACGCCTGATGGTCCCGTCAGGTCTCCCCCACAGGGCGCTGGGGAGAGAGGAAGACAAAGGTCAGCCCTGGGTGCTGGCAGGCACAGTGGAGGAGGTGCTGGGTCTGGCAGACCTGAGTGAAAACCTGACTCTAGGGGCCAAGAGGAGGGTGGGATGTAATGGATACAGGGTTTTACCTCAAAGTGACGGGTATGTTTTAGAACAGAGGTGGTGGTTGCATAACATTGTGAATGTAACAAATGCCACTGAATCATTCATTTTAAAAAGGTGAATTTTATGTTATGTGAATTTCACCTCGATAAATTATTAGAGACAAAATCAAACTACCTGGCCCCACCACTTCCTGGCCGTGTGACCTTACGGAATTTACCTAACCTCTCTGGACTTCAGCATCCTTTCCCTATTGCAGGAAGAGGTACTATTTCTCTCAGGGATGGTAGTAAAGATGTTGGAGAGGTCTGTTAAACCATTTGGCATATGGTAAATAGTCAATATTTGGAAATAGTTGACACTCCTTCATCTTTTAGACATTTGAACTACATGGTTTCCTTCCACAGCCTCACGTCCAGTTTCCAGGTGAGCTTTGTGGGTGTTGATCCCCAGTTCCAGTGCGCCCACCATCAGGAGGTGTGAAGAACACAGCCACGTTTACCTGCCCAGCGCGGCTGGCCTCCTTCCTGTCAATGTTCTCGGCATCTGCCTGGAGCTGCAGATACTTTCCAAGTTTCCAGAAGACCTTGTCTAAGACAGCGTGTGCACCTCACTTGGATGGAGATATGACAGAGCTCCATTCGTCCACGGTGGTCCCCACGCCACCCCCCTGAGGACGTACCTTTTAACGGGCAGGGAGGGGGCAAGTGGCTGGTGATGCAGCAAGCGGCTTACCCGGAGCCTGCTGGGGCACTTCCCAGATCCTGAGTCAGGTTCTCCCCTAAATGGCTGGGCCACTGCCCTGTAGCTGTGGGGTCTGGTAAAGCGGGGGCTGGAAAGTGTATGGGGTCGTCAACAGGAAAGATGGTAGAGACTATCAATATAGCGTGGTCTGAGAAACCCCACAGGGCGCCATTGGAGGTTGAAGTCAAGTAGGTCAGCAGGGGGCCCATAGGAGCAGGGAAAGCCGTTCAAGGAGAGGCCAGAAAATCCGAGACTGGACACGGAGGTGGGAGCCAAGGGCATATCCAAGACCCAACTCGAGAGCAGCCACTCGCTTGTCGCAGAGCTGAGCTTTATTGCCTCACGCTGTAGCTTTCACCCAGGGTAAGCCTCCGAGGGCTCAGTCAATGCCCACCGGGTCTTTTTAAGAAACAGCAGGCTTCGGGCTGGGCCGTAAAAGCCCCAACATGGCCGAACATAAAGCCTGAGTGATCACGAGAGTAGTGGATTTGCCCCCTGCCCCATGGAAAATATATCCCAAGTCCCAACTGGAACACCAGGAACACTCAAGGGGGCCCTTATTGTAGGTCCGACATGACACACAGCATTCTAGATACCTCATCTCATTTACATCTCGTAACCACTCAGTGAGCTATGGATTCTCCTTCCTGGCTTAGAACCGAGGAGCCCAGGGTTCAGGGAGTTGAAAGACCCGCCCAGAGTCACTCTGAGACTCGACCTTCATCCGTCTGGCTCGAAAGGGCAGCACTTTTGCACTCTTCCACTCGGCTCGGAATCGCGGGTGGGGGAGAAGAGGAGCAGCCCCCTCTGGGAGAGCTTCAGTGAGCAAGGACGGTTCCCTGCACCAGGTCTGCTTAGTGTCTGGCTCGCTTCTCCCCGCGCCCTCTTGTTGAAGAGGGTTACACCAATGCGACATGCTGGAGGCCTGTACGACCTGGATAAAACCTTGCACTTCGCACAACAGGCCCCACTGTCCCGTGCTCCGAGAGTGGCCCGACCCTAGCAACGGTCTGAGGCAGCCGGGGTCATGTGGGCAGTCCCAGCTCCCTGGGAACCTTCCTAAGGGGGCACAGTGCCGCCTCCATGAGGGCAAAGGCCACAGGGTGTGAGCTTCCTCTGTGGCTCAGGGGTTTCTTGCCTTAAGTTAGCCAGGGATGGGGGTGAGCCTGGCTGTTTCTGAAACTGCCCCTACCCCCAAAGTGCTTGTGGTTTGGGTTCTAGGCCTCTGTCCTGGAGCAGTTCCCTTCCAGATGGTTCCCTGGCATCGGACATTTGGGCATCTGCTTCCCACTCAGGACCCCAACAAGGGCTTCATCACCCTCTGCCATTTGTGTGTCAAGGCCTGCCAGAATCCTAGCGACTTCGCCAGCAGGAGCGCTCCTGCTGCTCGGTGCTGATGAAAGGGTACACCTTCCCTTTCTAGGCCCTGGCACTAGGCAGCAGGACAGCTGAGCTGCAGGAGACCAAATGAGGCCTTGGCAACATCCCAGCATCACCTGGTCCTTTCAGCAGGTATTCACCGGGGTCGGAAAGCCAGGTGGGAACTAGAAGCCAGGTGTCGCTCCCAATCCAGGGCGCTTGCCCCACACCCAGGGTCACGCCCTGTCCCCTCCCTACTGTGAGTCAGGAACAGAGGGTGGGCTCTGGCCTGCGGGCCCAGGCTGGAGCTTACAAACCATGGAAGCCCAGGAAGGGGTGGCAGCAGGCAGCTGGTCACCCCAGATGGCCAAACAGTGGCCGGGCAGTCCCGAGGGACGAGAGGTGTGAGAAAGGCCATTGAACTCGAAGTTACATAGTCCTGGGTTCCAATTCTGACTGTGACGCTTACTAGCTGTGAGTTTGGGCAAGCTCTCCCATCTCTCTGAGCCTCCACTTCCCCATCTATAAAATAAATAATAATAAAAAAAAGAGTAACAACAATAATAACTTCTAACACACACCGTGTTCACCGTGAGCCAGACGTGGTCCTAGGCGCTTTACAGCATGAACTTCTTTCCTCCTCAGAACAGCCCAGTGAGCTAGGTACTCCTAATGCCCCTATTTTACAGGGGAGGAAAATGAGGCCCGGGGAGATTCAGTAATTTGCCTAAGGCCACACAGCTTGTTGTGGTGAAGCCACCAGACTCGGTCGGTAGTTGCAAACCAGAACCTGAGCTCTAAACTTACTATCTGATGATTCCATTTGCGAGAATGCAGCTAAAATGTCTAGCCCAGTGCCTATCATGGGGATGACGCTCAATAAATACTTGTTTTCTCCCTTTGCTTCCTCCCTATAATGAAGGGATATCAAGGCCAGCCAGACCAGTCATGGCAGACTGCCAAGGGAGTTGGAAATTAGGGGCTTGTCACTGGGATTTCCAGACTGTTTGAGAGAAGAGACAAAGACATTCATTTTGTTGCCTGAGGAACGTTTCCCCAAGCTGAGTACAGAAGAATGGGTAATGAAAGCTGAATTAACCTCTTTGCCCTGCTCGCTGCACATTTATTGCTCTCAACAGCTTAACGCTGTGTGCGCCCCGCTCCCCTCCACCTGGGCCAGTCTTGTCTCAGGACCTGCTTTTCTGTAGAAGGCTAAGGAATCACAGCCCTAGAGAATGTTAACTTTGGAAGGGGCCTCAGAGGTCATCTGATTCCCTCCTGGGCCTCACCAGAATAATTCCATTGCCCAGGTGGGATTTGGGTTCGGGGAAGGGAGGTGAGTCCAAAAACTCGAGAGAAGAAAACAAAGAAGGGAAAGAAGGGAGGGAGGGAGGGAGCGAGGAAGGAAGGAAGGAAAGAAGGAAAGAGAAAAGGAAGGAGGGAAATTAGTATTTCTTGAGATTTGGGTTAGTTGTGTCCTCACGCCATGATGCTGTGAGTATATTTACTCTCACTTAATAGAACAGGAAACTGAGGTTCAGAGAGATGGAGTGGTTCCCCTGAGGCCACTGAACTAGTTAATGGCAGAGCCAGGATCTGAGCCCAGATCTGTCTACTTCAGGACCCCACACTCTTTCCTCCATGTAGCTGAGATCGGAGCTGTTTCTGGAAGCCAGGTCTCAACTTCCTGTCAGCTGTATATTCACCATGCTCCTACCACATAACCCAGTTGACTCCTAATCACCTTTGAGAGACAGGATTCAGTGTCTCACCTTCAGCAGCAGGCCTGAGAGCTTGGCTGGCAAAGGCCAGTCCTCGGATGCCTGGACAGAGCCTTCCACTGAGCCTTTGTGGAAAGCCATGCAGGGCATCGCCAGGGTGAAGGCTGCTGGGCTGTGTCTTGGGAAGTCCCTGGAACCCATCCCCGGCACAGGAGCCAGTGTGGGAAGTAGGAAATTGAAAGGCTCTGCTTACAGACTGATGTGGGTATGAATCTTGGCACGGCTATATCCTAGCTTTGTGATTTGGGCAAGATATCCAAATGTGTCTGAGTTTTGGTTTCCTGAACTGTAAAATGAGGGAATGGTACTCGTTTCAGAGAGCTGTAGGTAAAGTTAAATGAGGCTGGGTAAGAAAATGTCCAGTGTGGGGCTAGCACACAGTAAGGGGACCCAGTGGCTACTGCTTCTCTTCTAACACCCGTTGTTGACACAGGAGATAAATGCATTCAGTATTTGGCCTGAGAAAAAGGGTCATAGGGCAATGAGCACCTGGAATGTTTCTATTTCTCTCTCCCTTCAAGTTCCCTCCTCCTCCCAGGCTCAAGGAGCTGGGGAGCAGGATTATTCACCCCCTAACCCTTACAAGCTACCTGACCTTGAGCAAGTCACAGAGCTTCCATTTCTGCATGGGTCAAATGGGGAGATTTTAAGAGTAAGGACAGATCTAGAGATCTAACACCCAGGTAACCAATAATTTCCTTGAGAAGAGAAAGGGGAAGGTTCTTCCCTTTACACCCAGGCCTGTGGATGCCCTTCTCATGCTTTAGGTATTAGAAGGGGCATTTTGGAACCTGCTGACCTTCCTACCCGAGCGGACCCATTGTCCTCATTCCAACCTATATAGCCTGAGCCACGGAGAAAAGAGGCAGACGTGCCTGGTTAGACATTTTGGGGACCACTTTGGAGAGTGAAGAATTTGTCATGTGTAAAGAGTGTGAGTGTGTGAATGTGAGGGAGTGTGTGTGTGCGCACATGCACGCAAAGCAGCGTAAACTTTGGGTTTTCTGCAACTTTCAGCTGCTCCGAGGCTCCTGGCCAGCCTCCAGATGCAGCTACCACTTAGGCCACGGGGTCTGGAACACACAAGTGGGGGGCCCAGAGGGCAGGATTCACCCTGCGGCTGCTTTGTACCGATGCACGTTGGCGGGCTGGGCTGCCAGAAGAATCTGTTCTCGATCTTCACACAGCTGATCTCCGCACTCCCCTGCAGCACATAGCCAGGCTCACACTGGAACACCGTGGAATCTCCGGCTTCCCAACCGTCGCCGCTCCGGCTCCCGTTCTGTGGGACCCCAGGGTCGTTGCAGGATGTGGCTGTGGACACTGGGACAAGGGAACAGAAGAACAAGTGCCAGACAGTGAGGCTCCCAGCCCATCAGCCTCACTGTCATCACCGTGCCAGCTTCCAGTGTCACGGCCATGATCTCTGTCACCTCCCGCTGGCGGCATTGGCAACAGGGCCACCGTTTCTGTTCTCACCCCCGTCCCTGTCACTGCCTCCACCACCGCTGGGGACCACCATCAGAGCCCTACCAGAACCTTCACCATCGCTGGCATCCACCTGTCACGAGATACCATGAGTTAGGTGTGACTGCAGAGCTGTGATTGTAGAAGAAGTGAGTTGGGTTCGATTTAACGATACCCGCCTTGCTGCATAGATAAGCAGAGACAAGCAGGGTCTGCCAGCGGGCTGGGAGCTGGTCTGCCTGCACCCCGAGCAGCGGCACTGAAGGCAGGGGGAGAACTGCAGTCGGGTGGAGACCGCGCCCTCTCTTGCACGGCAAACGCCCAGCGACCCATCAGACTGAAACCGGAGGAAAGTCTGGTATTTGTAGCAGGTGACAAAGTAGAGTTCAAAATAAACATTCGTAGCCGAGATGTGTGTAAACATTCAAAAACCTCAGGAATGTGGGAGATGTTCGCAGTCTGATACCTAACTTAGTGTAAGATGGACTGTGTGTGCTTTAAAAGTGAGTGTCAAATGAATGATGGAGGGAAGGAGTAAATGAATAAAAGAATGAATGAGTGAATGAATGAGCAGATGCACTGTGAGCGAAGGAAATGACAGAAAAGAAAGTCCAGAGAAAGAATCGGGGCAGCGGCAACCTGTCATCCTCTGGACTGTGGTCAGCGGGCCCCGGGGACAGGAGGCACCGGAGGCCACAGGATCCGTAACATTCATTTGCTTGGAGGGTCAGATTCCCCCCGCCCCCAAATTTTGGGAAAAATAGCATGCACAAAACCAAATGAATTTATTGTGGAGTAGAATGTAAAATTCACCTGAGTTCTTCAGCAAAAACATGAAGCCTAAAAGAGACTGTAGCCTCCTACAGCCCCCAGATTGGCAGGGGGAGATACATTTACTCTCTTCTGCTCTGAGGCGGACTTCAGTCGAAAAGCTCGAGAAGCCCCAGCCCAGGGCAACTGTACACACTAATATCACCAACTATAAGATCTAAGATTGTGTGAACAAGTCTGGAGTTACAGCATCTGATACCGCATACCCAATAGTAATACACGCGATAAACTAGGGCCCACAGTCAGACCTGGCTCTATGCCTGTTCTTGTACATAAAGTTTTACCAGAATACAGGCACGCTCGTCTGTTTACATATGCTCTACTATACTCCAGCCACAACTGTAAATTCTTCCACAACAGCAAGCTCAGGTCCCTCCCTGCTTCCCCCCCACCCTCAGGGCATTTGCACCTGCTGGTCCTTCCACCTGGAACAATGGTGCCACAGACCTTCCTAAGCCAGCTCCATACTGTCATTCAGTTTTCAGCTCCTGAATCACCTCCTCAGATGGGCCTATTTGACCACCTTCTTCTGGGCTCATCCCTTGACCCCCTTCCACCGATTTGGTCACATTATCCTGTTTTGTTATTTTCATTGCACGATCTGTAATACTCTTGCTAATTCGTTTGCCTCTTTATCGTATGCTATCACTTGTGCATCTCCGTGGGAACCAAGACCTCGGCTGTTTTGCTTCCAGCTGCATCCCCAGGGCCTAGAACATTACCCAGCACACAGCCATGCTCAGTAAATATTTGTTGAATGAATAAATAAATGAACAAATCATCACCATCTGACACTTACTGAATTTATTTATAAAGTCAAATAAGAATCAATCTTCTTCCTTCCCAATTAAAAACAGACTTAGCTTTCATCTCTAGCTTTATAGCGACTGTACACATGTAAATGATTCCCTGAAAGAAAAATAGCTCCCTGTTCTGACCATACTCAGAAAAATTATTTATATAGGAGGAGACAGAGTGCAATGATGAAGAGCCTAGGTCTGGGAATCAGACATAGGGGTTTTGATCCGGTCTCTGCTGCTTATTAACTAGATGACCTTGTATGAGAAACCTCCCTGGGCCTCAGAGCCCCTGTCTGCAGCATGGATTAATAATGGCCACCATACTCTAAGGCTTCCTTGAAAATTAATAGCAGAGTGCTTAGCATGGTGCCGGCTCAACGGGTAGCAGCAACTATGCTTCCCTCTCCTTCAGTGTCCCCCTCACTCTCTTTGTTCCCACCTTCCCTCTTTAATGCTCCTGAATTTGAGCTGCTTGGCAAAGCCTCAGGGACACGCTGGATCCACGTGTTTCAGACAGGATGTTAGCTGTTACACAGTCATGTTTACTTAATAAAGCCAAGCCTGCACTAATCGTCTCTGGCATTTCTGCACAATCCCCTGTCAAACACACACTATAAAGTTAACATGGGGTGAGCCATTTGCCCTTCCGTAGAGGAGTCCTGGTATTTGCTAACTGATGACAGCCACAGGGCAAGGTGACCTTTCCTGAACCTCGGTTACACCTAGACCCTGGGCCAGGTCATCGTGGCCTTTCTGGAGCCCAGGCTAGGTAGCTTAGCCCACTCCCCTCTCCATGGACCTAAGTGATGCTCAGGGCGGCTTGCCTCAGGACACCCATACATTAGAGAAAACCATGTGTTCATGTGTGCATGTGTTCATGTGCCTGCTTATCCAGTAAGCAGTGAGTGAGCACCTGCTGCATGCATATGCCATGGTGGGGGCGGTTCTGATCGGCAGGACATGGTCCCGACTCTCTAAGAGCTGTCTGTGGAATGGCAAGGGTGTGGCCACCTCCAACACAAGGCAGAGTGTCTGGGACTGACAACGGGCCGAAGAAACTGAAGTAAAGTGCTCGGGGTGCCACGGGCCACAGCAGTTTATTCTGAATGGGGAGATGAGGAGGAAGTGGCATCTGACAGGAACCTTGAAGGATGAATAGTACTTCTACGGGCTGGGCAATGCGTGAGGAAGCAGCCTGAGCTGCTGAGCAAAGGCAAGGTTTGCGACAGTGCCCAGGGACACTGTCCCACGTGGACATGCTGACGGTGCATGGGAGGTCAGATAATGCAAATCCACGGGGGAATTTGTCAGAGCAATTAAGAGGGTTTTTTTTTTTTTTTTAAGCCATAACCATTAGCTTGGGCACAGTCAGAGAAAATACATGTCTGGTTTAATTATTCATAACACTCCTTTCCCCAGAGAGTGGACTGAGCTGTCTCTTTAGCATTCTACTCTCCTCACTGCTGGGGGATTCTTTACGGCTTATCCCAGCAATCTCTAAAGTCTGTCCCATAAAATGCTAGTCTCTTGAGATGGTCTAGGAAAAAGTCATCCATGGTCAAATATGTTTGGGAACTGTGACCTACTAGATAGACACCTTCTGAATTCACCTGCTAAATTAGCATACCAAAAGTTCTCAGAGGTCCCAAATTACAGATAGCCTCTTTAGGTGTGCCTTGACCTAAGCACCTTCTCAACATTATTTGATCATGCAAAGTTCTTTCTTCAGCAACATCAGTTAACAGTTCGTGGAACTCCAGGGAACAGATGCGGGGAAATGCTTATCGAAAATGACTCCCTCGTTGCCCCGTGGTGGGACCTAATCTTGGATGAGATCAGCGTTACCCTGGGTCCCCAGAGACTCTCCCTGGGTGAATGGGTGCCAGGATTCCAAGTAAGAAGACTCCCAGTGAACCCTGCAAGGAGCTCTTCCTCGCCAGGCTAGAAGCTTGCATGAGTGTTAATTGGGCAAGTTAATGGGTATAAAGGAACATAATCCTGGAGGCCCTCATCTGCCCTACAGACTATTGAATGGTCGTCTCTACGGAGAAAACAGATGTGCACAAGGGCTACAAGCAGGGTCTGTAACACCATTCCAGCCCACCTGGTACCAGAAATATACCCAAACACCCTTAGTTAATACACCAACGAGGGGAGACTGCGGAGGCAAAGCCATGGCATGGGTGCCACATGGGCTCGCTCCGCAGTCACCATGGCAACGCCCCCCTCCCCACACACAGTGGAGTAAGGACATGGTAATGAAGACAGCTGCTGTATAATAAACATAAGCATAAACCGAGGCACAGTCACTTATGCAGGGAGATGAGTGATGGAAGAGGCACTTCAGAGGAGATGAGACGGTGCATCACAGGGGGAGGCAGGATCAACACATGAATTATCTAATGCTGGGACTTGGATGTGTGAGCACTGCCCATTTTTGGTAGCTCTTTGTCATGCTCCTCCATAACTGGTTACTATAGTACATAATTAATTGAATTCAGATCATTCATGCTTGGCTCTCGGTCCTTCCTGAAACCCACACTAGATTAAGAACCAGAGTGTGCGGCACGTAGAGCGGCTCGTCCATAACCAAGCCCCATCCCACCGTCACCGGGGGCCTGCGTGCCTCCTTCCGTGCTCCCCGAATTTCAGCCCGCACGTTCTGGATCCTCTCATCCTGCCTCTGCACTTGTGCACACGTTCTTTGCACCTACGGTGCCCTTTTCTCTCTTTTTCATCTAACAGGGATCCACAGATGCCCCCCAAATCCTACTCCGTGGCACCTCCCACTCCACAGCATCATCAACTACCCCCTGCTTGAAACATGGTCTTCCCTTCTGTAACTTCTACTACTCATCCCGCGGGTCTGAGCTTGGGCATTGTGTTTTCTGGAATATCTTTCTTCCCTGATGCTCCAAGGTGAACATTATAGTTTATATTTCTCTCCCCAGATACTCATCAATCTGCACATTAGTGTCTCTTAAGCTGCTTGTCTTCCCCTGCAGAGTAAGCTCAGCACATATATTTGAACAAGTGCTAACCAGGTACCAGGCACACAGCTGCTGCTCAGTGACTCTCTCTACAAGAGGAGAGGCCTGGAGGAAAGGAGGGACTGGAGGGAGCGGGGCTATGCCGCAGGACAGATGGACAGGGGTGGGCAGGAAGTGAGCACAGACCTGAGAAGTGAATGGCAAAGCCCTGCTTGCTGGTGAAGAAGTCGGTGCTGAACTGCAGAACAACCGAGTTGAAGGTGCTGTGCAGGTCCTTGGGCAGGGCCGCTCCGCTGAGCTCCTTCAGCAGGACCCCACTCTCCACAGGCCCGTCCCAGATCCGCAGCACGTCGTGGACCTCCTCCGTGTCAAACACCAGGAAGTGGAGCCTGAACAGAGAGAAAAGGAAGGCGGTCACTGTGGGCTCAGCACCTTCCTCCCAGGGGCTTCCGGTCAGAGAAGGTGGGAAACCCAAGAAAGACTTGCCAGAAGGAAGGGACAGCAGTGTCCAGCAGCACCCTCATGGCTTCCAGCCGGCCTGCTCCTCCCACTGGGGGTCCCCAGCAGCAGGGACGGGGGTGAGGGGGGGCAGGTTTTGTGCACCTTGTTGATTATCATGAGCTTCATGTTACCACTGTCAAAGCCCCTGCCCCCCCACCCCCGGTCTCTTCACTGTACACAACGGTCCCCAGACTTCTTCCTGAGTCCACATCCATATCATTCTAGATTGTGAGGGGGACGCTGAGAAGGCATACACTCAGTCAAAATCCCAGAAAGGCATTTAGTGTCTATCGACAAACTGATTCTAAAGTTCATATGGAGAGGAGAAAGCCCCAGAACCACTACACGATATCGAAGAAGGACGAGACTGGAGACCGACACTACCCAACGTCAAGACTTAAGACAAAGCTGCAGTAATCAAGGCAGTGTGGTATCAGCAAAAGAACAGGCAAAGAAATCAATGGAACAGAATAGAGAACTCAGAAACAGACCCACAGAAATACAGTCAATTGATCTTTGACCAGGGAGCGAAGATGGTCTTTTCAACAAAGGGTGCTGTAGCCACTGGATACCCATATGCAAAAAATGAATCTAGCTGTAGACTTGAGGCCCTTCATAAAAGTTAACTCAAACTGGATCACAGACTTAAATGAAAACATAAAACTATAAACTCCTAGAAGACAACGTGGGACAAACCCTACACGACCTTGGGTGTGGGGAAGACTTTCAGATATGACGCCAAAGGCATGATCTGTGAAAAAAACAACTGATCAGCTGGGCTTCACTGAGATTACAAATTTAGGTTCTGCAAAAGGCAATGTCAAGAAAATGAGCAGACAAGCCGTGGACTGGGAGGAAATATTTTCAAAAGACACAATTTGATAAAGGACTGTTAGCCCAAATATATAAAGAATTCTTAAACCCAACAAGAAGAAAACAAGTAAGTCTGATTAAAAAATGGGCCAAAGACCTTACCAGACACCTCACCAAAGATAGACAAATGGGGAATAAGCACATGAAAAGATGCTCCACGTCCTGTCATCAGGGAAATGCAAATGGAAACAGCAATGAGATACCACTACATGCCCATGAGAATGGCCTAAATCCAGAACACTGACTCTACCCAGCGCGGATGGGGGAGGGAAACAGGAACTCTCACACACTGCTGGTGGGAATGCAGTATGGTGCGGCCACTTTGGAAGACAGTTTCGCCATTTCTGACAAAAGTAAACATACTCTCCTTACCATACCATCTGGCCCTCATGTTCCTTGGTATTTACCCAAAGGAGTTGAAAACTTAGGTCCACACAAAGACCTGCCCACAGATATTTATAGCAGTTGTATTCATAATTGCCAAAACTTGGAAGCAACCAAGACGTCCTTCAGTAGGTGAATGGATAAACTGTGGTACATCCAGACAATATTATTGAATTATTCAGTGCTAAAAGGAAATGAGCTAAAAAGGCATGAAAAGACATGGAGGAAACGTGAAAGCATACTACTAAGTGACAGAAGACATTCTGAAAAGGCCACATACTGTAGGATTCCACCTGTATGACATTTTGGAAAAAGCAAAACTATGGAAATGGTATAAAAAAAAAATAAAACCCTGCTTGCCAGGAGCTGGATGGGTGGGAGGGATGAATAGTGGAGCACAAAGGGTCTTTAGGGTGGAAACACTCTTAGGATACTGTAACGGTAGATGCATGTTATCATACATTTGTCCAAATCTATAGAATGTACGACATCAGAGTGAACCCTAATGGAAATTATGGACTTTGAGCAATAACGATGTGCCAGTGTAGGCTTATCACTTGTAACAAATGTCCCACCCTGGTTGGGGATGTCGATAATGGGGAGGCTGTGCCTATGGTGGGGCAGGAGGCAAATGGGAAAGTTTTGCACCTTTGTCTCAATTTTACTCTGAACCTAAATCTGCTCTAAGAAACTCGGCCTTAGAAGAAGGGGCGTGAGGGTAAAGGTAAGGGGTGTGTTGTGGGGTTTGAGAGGCTGATCCAGTTGTGGTGGGGGGGAGGGGTGAGCCTACATCTTGGTTTCCAGGAGCAGAACTTGGGATACTGGCTACACACAGGCTTGGCTTAGATAGTCCCTGGGGATCTGAAGAGGCCAGGCAGGGTTTCCATGTGACGGGGGGTGCCTGCAGGCCACAGACAGAGCTCTCAGGGCAAGGTAGCTGAGGAGGAACCCTGAATTCTCCCAGGACAAAGAGGTTCTGGCTGCCAAAGCTATTGACTACCAGCCTCTCTCTTAATCAAATTTTTATTTTGGAACAATTTTAGACTTGTACAAAAGTTGCAAAGTTAAAATGGAGAATTCCCATAGACCCCTCACCATTTCTCCCGCTGCTTATGTCTTATGTTTCCCAGGTGCAATTTGTCAGAACTGAGGAACCGACATCGGTGCATTACTGTGAACTCAGCTCCACGCTTCATTTGGATCTCACCAGTTTATCCACTGATGCCCTTTTTCTGTTCCAGAAGCCAATCCATTTACCACTATCTCTTTTTAAAAATATCTTTAGAGGGGCGCCTGAGTGGCTCAGTCGGTTGAGCATCTGACTCTTGGTTTTAGCTGAGGTCTTGATCTCTGGGTCCTGGGGTTGAGCCCCCCAGTGGCTGGCTTGGTGTGCTCAGCGGGGAGTCTGCTTCTTCTCTCCCTCTCCTTCTGCCCCTCCCCCCTCAAATAAATAAAATCCCTAAAAAATATCTTTTTAAATTATAAAAATAAGACATGCTTAGGGCAGAAAAAGACAAACAATATATAGCTGTACTGAATTTTTTAAAAAGTCCCTTTCTTACACAAACCAATCTGTTCTCTAAAGCTTTTTACTTGGTATTAGTCTTGGTGCATATCCTTCCAGACTTTCTTTCAGTGTGCATGCATTCCCCACCCCCTCCCCAAATGGGACCATATTTTACATAATTTTAAGTCACTTTTTTCACTTAAGATTGTTATGGACATAACACATATACTTCATTTTTTTCCCTACAAAAATGGACATTGTTATATTTCACTATCTCGCATAAGACTGCAAAGAACATTCCTATCTTTACATTGCTTTGCAATTTCTGTTAATATTTCAGTTGACTGTTGGAAGAATTTTTGGGGGGGATGGGTAGACACTTAAAAACCTTTTATAAATGCTACTAAATTATTCTCTTAAGTGATTGCATCAATTTACATTCCCACTAAACAGTATCAATGTCACTCTTCTCTCTAAACTTCACCTCATCAACATCAGATATTACAATGTTGTAAATATATTCTATATTAAAATACTTGCCCATC